AGACTCACTTTAAAGTGGCTCCTTATACACAGTAAAACTACAGGATTTATTATAGACTCACTTTAAAGTGGCTCCTTATACACAGTAAAACTAACAAGGATTTATTATAGACTCACTTCGAATTGGCTCAAAACATACAGTAATAAAACTACACAATGTATCAGAGACTCAATTTGGAGTGGCTCCTTACACACAATAAAACTACAGGATTTATTTTAGACTCACTTTAAACTGGCTCCTTATACACAATAAAACCACAGGATTTATTATAGACTCACTTTAAAGTGGCTCCTTACACACAATAAAACTACAGGATTTATTATAGACTCACTTTAAAGTGGCTCCTTATACACAGTAAAACTACAGGATTTATTATAGACTCACTTTGAAGTGGCTCAAAACATACAGTAATAAAACTACACAATGTATCAGAGACTCACTTTAAAGTGGCTCCTTATACACAATAAAACTACAGGATTTATTATAGACTCACTTTAAAGAGCATGTTCGTCGACAGGATTTTAACCTGCAGATCTTGAATAGTTATTTAACTACCAGGCCTTTTACTTACAAACTAATGATCAGAACACAGATTATACCACACACGATCTTAACCAAACTGAGTTCAGTTATCTTTGTACCAATAATAAAGTTGTGAATGATGAATGTACAAAATAATTACACAGTTCATCCGTTATCAAAACTCAGTTTCTGAACAAAGTATAAAGCGGTTACACACCTTGTGATTCTGTACCACAGTACCAGATTTCCCCGTCAAAACCACAGCTCGTGTTACTGCAGATTGCTCAAGATTAGATGTCAACTGGACTGGTCTTCCTTCGACAGTCAGAGGTTTTGAAATAATATTATTTTCAAAGTTTTTCCTTGTACCTGATAAACTGGCTTGAATTCTACTATTGCTATCTTCTATTGGCCCAACAGTATTAAGTACCTCACCTTCGTGGGAAGTATATATTATTCTTACTTTCTCGTTCTTGCAGGATCTTCGAGACAGGATGTATTTCATGACTTTATCATATTCTTGCTGTGCTTGTCGATAAGCTGCAGCCTGTACTGGTGAAAGTACTTCTTCAAAACATTCCATGTAGAGGGCATTTTGGTTGGTGTAAGAATATCCTATTTGATTAGATACAGTGATATTTTTACAAGGTGAAGTTGTAGGTGCTAGGTTTGGGGCTTTTTTCTTCAGTAGTTCTGCTTTCAGTTCTTTGGAAAGATTTAGCTTGGCTGAAATTGAAGAATCCCTCCTAAGTTCTGGTTCTGGGGTTTCACTTCTCACCCCTTCCAACAGTCCATACTCCCGTACAGTACGTTGGATCTTTTCAGCAGCAAGAAGAGCCGCTTTTCGAGATGCTCTTCTTACGGGTTTCTAAAAGAGGCAAAAAAAAAAATCCAAGTACGATATACAGGTGTTAATATAATATTTTTTAAACATTTATATTATGAACTTGTAAACAACAAATTATTAAACCAATTAAAATAACATATTAAAGTAATTTATATATGTTTACCAATTAAACTAAATGTGAAAAACAAATATATAAAATGTTACTTACTTACTTACTTCAGTAATGATGCTTAAACAACATTAAAAAACAAAATTTTACTCATAAGAAGATGTCAAAATCAACCTGAAAGGGTGTTATGCCACTAGTACTGGGCCACCAAATAACCAAGAGAAACCGGAGAGGCCATTTAAATTTATTAAAACCTGTAATGCACATGGAATTAGTTTTTCCTGCAACTAGCATACTCCAGTATTACTATTCATTACAGTTGGTTACAGTTTGTAGACGATTAGTTTTAGGTAATCTTTTGAAGTAAGTCTTAATCATTGCATCAAAAATACCCTCTCTTGTCCCAGATACATACATTTTTTAACCTATTTCACACTATATTCAGAGTGAAAAATTGTAAGTTTAGAAGTACAGTAGAAAACTAAGTGGAACCAATCATTCAAATTATCACATACCGAGACACAACAGAATATAAAAGTTTTGGCTCAACTTTGTAAGAAAGACAAGAGGACAATATTGTAAAAAAAAACAAACAGAGAATTTTAAATTTGAAAAATATTATTTCATTACTTCATTTCGAACAGCTAAATTTTGTTTTAAAATATCTGAAGTTTATATATTTATATACGTTTTTATTTTTTTCTGAGAATTATTTTTCATTGTTAGCATATATATATATATATATATAGCTTTAGGACTAACCTAAATCTCCTCGCAAGATATTACTGGGACTATGGCCAAAATTACTGATAGCAACAACAGTATACAACTGATGAATAAATGTATGTATAATCACTGCAAGTTTTTGTTTTCTAACACTACATACTCTTAGTTAGACCAGTATATTAAATTAGCTACATTATTTAGGCAGGTAGCTTGCTTTGATCAAATGTTATTCATAATTATTTGACAACGCAGTCTGCAAACGGAAATTCAAAAAACTAAACCCTCAAAACTGTAATACTGTTACCGTAACAATCTGGTATCTTTACGTAAAAAAATTTATATTCAAAATATGTTGAAGATACTGTTTTATTGATGACATTAATGAGCACAGTTGCATCATAGATATAAAATATATCAAATGAACAGAAAAAAAGTTCATGAGACCCACAAAAACAGGAAATGGTAGCAATAATAAAGTAAGATGCGTCTTAAGCCTTTCCAAATCATGAAGATATTATTGATATCCCTTGATTTTTTTTCATTCTGACAGTGGAAACTTACAACCAACTTACTAAATACTTAAATACTATTTAGTTTTTTTTACAGAAATTCATATAATTAGTTTTTAGTTGTGGGACAGTTTTAAAAATACTTCTTTTTCATTATATAATTACAATCTTTTAAATGTTGATCAGAAAATTCAATAATTGCATTCTAAACTTGTGAAGAAGCTGCTTGACTGCAGAACACAGTGAAAACTTGATGACTGTCTTCATGGAAGGGTTCTAGTCAAACAATTCAACTATAGTCGTGCACTTGAAGGCTTCACGTGTACAAATTTTGACTTCAAATATGCATAACTTCATTAGAGCATAATAACACTAAGAACATTTCCCATCATGTTAATATTAAAACTCTTGCAGAAAAGAGTATACTTGAAAGATGTTAATGAAGTTCATCCATTTAGGAGACTTGGACAAAGTTTTAACCTTTGAAGATCTATGCTAGGCCACCAGCAACTGGAAATGTCATCCAAAATGTCTGGATAGATGCAGTCTATTAGCAATGTCTTTCAAGTAGTGTGAAACTGTAACTTTTGCTTTTTATTTATTGGTTTTTGATTAACTGTTACCAAATATCAATTTTCAAGATGATATAACGTTAATTATTTTGTAATTTAGTTCTTAAAATCATGTTTCACACCAATTGTGAAACAAGTTCTACAACCAACCTCACCACTCAGCATATATTTTTTATTCAGATCTAACCACAAAGTTAAAAATAAATCTTAAGTATTATTAAACGAAAAAATACCTTTATAAAAACTAGTTCAACAAACATAAATGAATTAAACACGAACAGAATTTTATTTCAAATCATTAACTAATATTTTTCGCAAATTAGTTTAAAAAACACCAATGTAACTTTTATAAAAAAAATAACAGTTCTACAAGTTAGAAATCAAACTCAATACAAATCAATTTTAAATAGGCATTTTTTGGCAAATTAAAGTTATTATCAACTTTGAATAAGATCTAGTCTGAATCAATATCTATTTATAGCACTGATGAATATTCATGATCAATGCAATGCTTTACACATTGCATTATTTGATGCCCTTTGGGTTGAACTGCAACAAAAAATAGTGAAAATTAAACCTATATCAACTTCTTATTGTCTAATGCATTTGCAAGCATAATTTATTCACCAATATATGGTTCAGGACGATCTCAGTTTGGCAGCTATGAGGTTCAAGCCACAAATTCATGGAGTTATATATAGTTGTGCTTACATTATGAAAGCAATTACAGCACTTATTAAATCTTGTCATAGTGGTTGCCACCACTGTAAAATTTGCATTGGGGTCATACTAAATGCTTAGTTTTCACAATCACAACATCAACAACACATTGCATAAATGTGTTCTTGACATATCCAGCTTCTTTTCATCTGGTATGCAGGCACCTTCTCTTATAACATTTTTGAGGTTAAGTATGGTGCAAGACTTATCTGTATAGGTTTGTGACTTTAGGTAGCCAAATCCAATGGTGTTGAGTCCAAAGAAATTGCAAGAGATGTTCGTCCCCACCAAACTATGTCTGTAATAGTCCTCTGACCTGAGAAGCAATATTGAGAGAGTCAAAATCTTACATAAATACAGCAGCGTCAAGCATCTATCACAGATGCAGCTCGAGAGCGAGATGATCACAACATTGCAAACATTTTTAATGTACAAACATAAGGAGCAGGTGTATCAACCTGTTGTAAATTTTGTAGGGTTTGTTTAAGTATTTCTTAGGGATTCTCATTGCATCAGATCACATAAATCCATGTGTTGAAAAACATGTAAAGCAAAGTGTGTATGTGTAGAAAAGCAAAGTGTGTAGAAAGACTGACCCCAGTGTGCTGCACGAAAGCATCCTGCAGAAGAAATTACACTAAAGAGTAAGTCTACAACCCCATGGCCATTACATATAACACCATCTGTGGTGGAAGAAGGGGGTTTTAAAACTAAGCACTTATCCTTTAATCATAGTCTATAAATCTACACATCATGCTGTATAAAAATAGTATCTGTGGTGGAAGACGGGGGTTTTAAAACTAAGCACTTATCCTTTAATCATAGTCTATAAATCTACACATCATGCTGTATAAAAATAGTATCTGTGGTGGAAGAAGGGGGTTTTAAAACTAAGCACTTATCCTTTAATCATAGTCTATAAATCTACACATCATGCTGTATAAAAATAGTAGAAGTTAA